GGAAAGAAATAGCCGCGGGGGGTGGGGGTGGCGAGAGGAGGAGGGGAATTTGATAGATGAGAAGAAACGAGGCAGACAGTAATAGACACGATTAAACCGTGTCAGCTTCTCATGGAGTGTTCCGGGGCGTCTGAGCTTTTTCTTGGAAATGGCAAACAGTCATCCTAAACCGCCTACGCGGAATCTACATGCAACGGACACGTCAGCTCTACGTTGCACTTTGCCCACGGATGCAGCTTACTCACATCAACTCCCACCCCTTCAGACGTCTGGAGTGCAAGTGATTATAAAAAATATTCAATTGAATATAATCGTGATGCTAATAAAACTTGTCAATCCTGTACTTGGTAAAGTGCAGCGTGACGTATGGTACGGAGATAACAAAAAAAAAAACAATGGAATGGGGACTGAATTTTCCGCTGGGTTACCGTCGCTCGTTAACAAATTTACGAGCGATCATTCGCGAATCGGTGCTGGGGAAATACGATAACGATCTCTCAAAGCAGCACGTGCCGCAGGCTTCTCTACATTGCCGCGAGAAATACCGAGAGAAAGGAGAAAGAGAGAAGAGAAGACGATTGAAATCATTTTCTGGTTGTATATAGACTGCGTATGTACATTTATAACATGTATATCCAGTGGAATTTATTATCACTCAGGCTTGTACATTAGGCGACCCGCCTTACTCAACCTTGCGCAATCATGCGGCGCGCTAGTTCACTAACGAGCATCGGGGGGGGGGGGGCAACGTCAGTGGCGCCTCATTGGCATGTACGTAAACCTAGAATGACGTAGCAATACATAACAGAGTAATTTGTCCACTCGTTGCATACGTAGGCACATGCATATCAATTTGGGGTCGAGGAGTATCTGCTTATCGCTTTGAGTCTTCAACACATTGACTTTGTATTTCACTTGTCAATGCACAGTTTTTCCCCTTGAAAATTCAATGGAAAAAACAATAGTCGTTGTTATGCGAGAAGGAAAAATCACCGACTATTTCCTTATTTTGCATTTCATGTTCTGGGAAGTGATGGGTGTGGTACGTCTGTTTTTGAAAATACCAACTCGGGCACCCGCGCTCCCGGTCAACTACAGCCCTGCCCTGCCCTGACCAATACTCTCTTCATCTCTCCCACCGTCTCCGCCCTTTTTTTTATTACCTCTCACGCGGCGGGCCGTTCTCTCACGAATAGCAAAAGGGCTAACCGCATTCCGACGACCATTTAAACCACTGCCAGCGTCCCACGCCCAACCGCAAGGTGGCCTGACAGGGGCTACCAGTGACGTCATTCAGCTCGCCGCGCGACCTTCGAGTTCCCGCGCTTTCCAGTCGCGATGAGAAGAGAAAACTTGAAACACACGCGCCATCACCATCTATACCCCCGATCAAGTGTGTACAGTCAACAGTTGGCTCTGTACTATTGCAATATCAGTGTGGACGACCGGTAATACCGACGACATTGTTTTATTGAGGAGAAAAAAGAAGCAAATTGAAGCAGCGGCGTGTGAGAAAAAAAACACCTGAATAAGTAGTTTGACAGTTGGCCCGGCCAATGGCCCCTTTATTTCATTAATTCTCAATTCGATACGATACAAGGAGAAGAGAAAGGTGTCACAGTACCGGCCGGCTTATCCGCAGACAAGATGTCGGCGTCTCAAATTAATGTCAAAAGAAAGAATAAATGAATTCGACCGAGTTTCATTCTTACGGACAAAGTGATTCGCTCGAGATACTCTCCACAGGTCGTTTAAATCCACATTTCAAATTGCTCATATATAAACTACACGTGTACATATGGAGGGTATACAAAAGGAACGTTGAGGTGGTGGAGGAAAGAGAGAAGACAAAATAAATACACATTGCAAAAAAAGACTAATAAAAATAGAGAGGAAACGAAAGGACGAAACCGGAAAGATTGCGTGCCGGAGTCTCGGCTGTGTTACTGGACGCTTTATTGCGTGGGCGTCGTCCTCTCACGCGATATATATCCACCAGCGCGTTGTACATGTCTTTTTTTAAATAGCAAGGGAAGGAGATACCTCGGAAATATGTGCAATAATACTGGACTACCCCTGTGATTCATTATTTGTCGGCGCTTGTCAAGTTTAATAAAGTAATCGAGCCAAGTGAATACACACCCGCCTTACTCGCTTTACTTGTATATATTGTTATTTGATTACCGCGACCTCGGACTGGAGCAGTGAGGGGAAAACAGAAAGACCTAAATTGCTACCATCAAAAAATTGTCCTGATACGTTTGATTAGATGACCTTCCAGTTGAATAACATGAATGAATAAAAAATTAACGTCAAAAGTGATGCGGATGGAATCACTTCATTTACAATTACATTCAGCAACTATTCAAAGATATTGCACGCATGCGTATCCCAGTAATGTCTTGAAATGCACGTGTTTATTTCACCGGTAGTCTGTTTCCCGCCCATATATGAAGGATATACATATATATACGCCTCGTCATGGAGCAAACTACATAACGGCACGATTCAGTGTTTCTGTTGAGCAGATGAGTCAAGCATGCCAATACGTGGATATTTCTTTGCCTCTCTATCTCACTCTATGTACAAGTTTCACCGAAGTGAGGCAAATCCAATGGTAGGCATTGGACTGTATGTACCGTCTACGACAGTTGATGGTAGTGGATACACGGTTTACGATATGGCATTCCTCACGTTGACGCGAGAGGACTGCTATGCAGTTGGCTTTAACTATACCCCAAGCATTTGGCCGATTGTCCACACATTGCAATGTTCATAATACCGGATGTCATCATATTGTGCAACATATTATTTTTCCATCTACATTGTTGAGAAAATATGATGATAAATTTTGCATTCATGGCTGTGACATTCCTCTGGCTCGATTATTCATGATTGCTTTTGTGCGTATTTATTAGCATTTAAAAATTTGTTTTTTGCCCGTTATACATGGGTAAGCAGGTCAATTTCTGGACGATTTCAACTTGCATTGAATATTCCATAAATAAAATGAAAATTGGACTGATTATTTCACCTTTCAATAGTGTTACTCAGACATCTGCATAATCATAATTTTTAATTACAGTTAAATTTTGAATAAGTCAATTGTTAATGTTACTAGTTTTTTGATTACTAAATTAACCATCAATTTAAATATTCAAATGCAGAATTATTTTATCAACCAATAATTGAGAAAATTGATTTCCCAATTATTATATTATTTTCCAAATTTTAATGAATGTAAGTAAAACTTAATTACTGTAAAGTGCTACTTCTCATAATATTACTAAAGTAATGATTGATGCCGATCTATTATGTTAGTTGTGTATAATCATGTGATCAATTTAAAAAAAAAAATTTTCTTCTCGTATACCCTTTCGGGTCTTGACGATTTGTTCCCTTCCCACCCCACAACCCCCTGTACCGCATTCGCCGAAGGACAAGGGAAAACCTCATTTTGAGGGAAAAACCTACCCAGGTACAGTCGTCTTTTGCGAGACTCCCGCTCGACAATGAAACCGTGAGATTTAAAGTATCACAAATGTTGGCCCCCCCTCATGTGATCAATTATTTTTTCTATTGATCGACAGTTAATAAATAAAAAAAAATATGTTGTTCAGAAATTACGAGTTCTGGCTGCATTAAACTATTTCTTAATTTAATTATTCTTTGTTTTATTATTTTCACTTCAAATCATTTTTTTCTGCTAAATAAAACATTCCTAAAGGTATGGAAGCCATCATATCCCCATTTAGGTGATTCTTTTATTTTAGATCCTACTACGAAACTCGAATTTCCCTTAACCGTCCAGCAATTGGCCTATTCACCCAACATCAGATGATGTCCGATGTCAAGAGTACTCTGTGGTGGACTAGAATTCACGGAAGTACTTGCTTCTTCAAGCACTGTCAATTGTATGCTTATTCGCATGAGCTGACTGTGAGTGAATTGAATCCACTGAATGCGCTGAATCGATCCACGAGAAACGCGCGGGGTCTGGGGAAAGGGAAAAGCCGAAGGCACGAGAGGAGGGGACGAACGGTATGCGGGCGCGCCCGTTGGCGTCGAGCGACAGAAACTCCGACCCGCGCTTATGCGCCAATAAGAGTAACTGGCCAGGGGACGGCAGAATTTTAGCATTAGCGTCAACGTTGCTCTCCCTTTACTACGACTTGAATTCCCTTTACTCATTTTCCCTGAGCCATTTCTCCGAATGGAATGTTACGAGCGGGTTGGCGATGAGGGGTGAGTGGGGAAAAACGGGAGTCTGAGAAAAATTGAGGGGCACGATATGCGGGCTGAGAATTTCAAGTGTACGAAATACTGCGATGAACGAGATCGAATGCAGCCTTTATGGATGGCTCATCGAAATAAATTTTCAAAAAAAATGCCGGAATCATTTGGTATACGGAGGGAAGTCTTTAGAAAAATTCTAGTGCCCTTAAGGATATCCAGTATCTTTTACAGTTTGGTACAGACTACGCTACAGATTCAACCCTTCGCAATCATCAAATTTGTCAATAAAATTGAGTGACAATTTTTTTTTAAATCATGAATATTCAGCGTCGTTAAAATTACATTTTGCCCAGAATTATTATTTTTTTCAACAATCGTTGTTTATCAATAAATAATTGAAATTGTTTAAACTTGAAAATGCTTGTAATTTTAAAAAATTGCAAATTTTGAATTATTTCATCATCGTTCACCAAAATAAAACTTTTAATTTTTTTCGATTTTTAAAATCTTTTCTAACGGTTCAATATCGAGATTCAAATTCAGGCCTGCAAAGTTTAAATCGAGTTTAAATAATAGCCAAAGTACTTGGATATCCTTAAGTTAAATGTCTGGGGATTTCTGTAAAAATTGCATATCAATATGAGAAAAATTCACCTGGAATTTCCCCTGTTTGTCCTTTGCTCCCGTTTTCTTGGACTAGCACAAGAATTTTTCCAATTAAATTGACTTCACGTTTTTTTTTTCACAAAAAATTATGAACTTACCAGAATCTGATGGTGTTTGTACTCCCAAATTCTCCATGCTCATCGTATTTGGCTGATTTATGTGATAACAGTGATCGCTCAACGTATTTCTGATCTCTGTTTCCATCGCAACGATATTTGTACTTGATGGATTACCGTGATTGGTGCTAGCGACCGCGACCTTCCTCCTCTCTGGGCACTTTCTTACCAGCTGTCCAGTGACCTCGCTAACGGGCGCGGCCTTGGCCATAGACATGCACTCGGACAATTTCTCATTGATGCTGATCTGATCGTGTTTGAATATAGGTGCATCGCACTCACTCTCTGTATCAGACTCTGTTGAGCTCTGTGGTGTTTCTGGTCTCGTTGAATCACCATCACTCTCTAAACTATCGTTACGCCTGTGCTGTTGATAATGTGCCTGTGGTTGTGATTGTTGTGAGGGCTTTACGCGTGATATTAATAAACTACGACCAGCCGGCACCCTTCTGTGCACCTGACTGTCCTTTTTAGCTGGCAGTGTCCTGTTGTGCTCTTTGCTTATACATAGTCCCGCCCACATGCAATCGTGATGACGTATTTTACGTGATTCGTAGCATATATCTTTGCCGTACAGTTCTGATTGTACATTATCCTCGTATGTACAATCGTGATGATGTGTGTACATATCGAGGGGTGTATCCAAGTCAAACTTTTTCCATATATCGTCCGACAGGACAGTGTCCAGTGGCTCCTCGAGCAGACCAATGTCTGGTGAGTCCCACACTGGTACCGGCATTTTGCTGGAAAATACAAATGAATAAAAAATTAGAAGTGCTATTGTGATAAGACCTATCGTGTCATCAGGGTAATTAGTCACTCTTTATGTACTCCGCAGAATTTTTTCTCCCTCAAATTAATTGAGTAAACGCATCTTTTACGACAGGAAACACACGCGTTTCGTGTTGATCAGCAGTTAGAGATAAGTCTACGAATATTCTTTAAAAAATGCAGGTTGGGGGTGAAATGGAAGAGGCAAAAAATATGAGGAATGTTTAATACTTGAGAAATGTCAACGCTCGGAAGTTCGGATCAATGAGACATAAGTAGGCCCTTGTGTGATTCTAGTAGAATTCTTGGAACGCCGATGGGTGATTCTGTCTATTCTCTTCCGAGAAGTACGTCTCAAAGTATATATGGCTTCAGGTACATATGCATGAATATATACATGGAATGTTGAATGCAAGCCTGTGTTATCAGGTGAAACAACGATTACAGTGACTGAGGCTGTCATTTCTCGGTTTTACTTCCTCCAACAGTTCGTCTGAACACTTCATTCATGAATTTTGGAGTTTACAACGGCGTTTTTTTGTCAGACAGGAAGGAAGTGACAGATCGCAATGCTGAGATGTACCACACTGGCTCACCTCTGTCCTCCCTCCTCCCCGTTCTATTCAAAAGGTCAGTGATGTTGAACAAATAGAATGGGAAGAATAGATTTTAATGACTGGAGTTAGAGAGGTGGTGGCGCTCGTGACAGGTGGTAGACGTAGAGTGGCTGAAGTCTCCGTCGGTTTTGGCAACAAATTATGTTTTTCTTTGGTGAAATAAAGTGGAAGAAAGCTGTTAAAGGGGCTCCTCGTACTGTTATTCACGAGGGAGGAGGTAATAAATTGGAGGGGAAAATAACTTTTTGAGAGATTTTTCAATGGATCGTTGGCGGCTGGCAATTTAGAGGTTAGATGGCATTTTGAGGTGTAGGTGAGGGGATGGAGAAGGGCAAGAACGATGGAGACAAGCGGGATATCTAGGGGTTAGAGAGTGGAAGATATTAAAGGTGGCGGTGATGATGTAAATTGAATTCCGAAAAATGAGAAATTGAAATTGAGAGTAATAAAAGGAAAAAGAAGCAACCGGAAATAAGAAAAGTTGGGCAAGGTTTGGATGGACGGAGGGAGTGGCCACGAGGCAACCTGTGACATGGAGAATTTGGGCAGTACCACGGAGGCAGAAGCATAGTTTGGCCGAAGTCTGGGGCACATGAGGAAAGTAAGATAAATTGGAGGGAGCAGGGGAGGCAGAGGAGGATTATGGTAAAGGGTAAACGGAAGAAGGTGATTATTATTTGAATGGTAAAATGAATAAAGGGCATATCTCCCGAGGAGGCTACAAGGGAGATTTTTGTGTGACCCAAAAAATGAGTGAAATTACCATAAATCTTGAGTGATGTGGAAGGCTGAAGGGCAGAAAATATGAGGCACGTAACAGCCGTGAAAAAATCAACATACAACGATGGCAGTGACGCTAAATAATGAGGAGAGAAGGTTATGGCTGAGGTGGACGTTTTGGAGAAGAAACGTAATTTTTGGCGGTATGGCTGTACATATCTTGATTGAGGTAAACCTTGAGAGGCAATTGATCAAAAGAACTGGAAATCGAAAGGGGCGGCTAGAGAAGGACGAGTTGAAGATATTGGCGGATGGGAATGGCTCCAACAGGGATGGGAGAGACTGAGAGGAACAGCGGGAATGCGGGTGGAACCGGACCAGTGGAAGGATGGAGCATCGGAGACGGATCTTTCAGCATGATCGTGACATGTTGTCATTTGTGAAAATTTTCTTAAATTATTTGCAAATGTTCTTAAAAATGGTTCAAAACGGTGTAGATGTCCGCGTTCGCTTCTGGCAAGATCTGGTTACCTTTGTGTTATCGTTCACTTGAGGTTGAGGCGCAAGGCAAATTTTTTATAATTATTATTTTTTTAAATTATTTTTGTTCTATGAAGGAGGAAGGTATGTGTAGATGTAAAACAAAGAAAAACTTTTGTAACATCAAGGAAATAAAGAATTGAACTGATTTTAATGACTGCCTGGGATGATGGCAGAGTCATTGTGAAAAGCGCCCAACAGTTAGTCATTTTCGAAGAAATTTGCGTGTCTGTTAGATGCGCATATTTGCCGTGGGTACATGTAGTGATTGTGATCTTACTTATGGCAAAGAAGAAAAGAAAAATAAATTTGATTGAAGATTAAATGGACAATTTTTTTTGTGGATCTATTTCAATTAGACTCCCTCGCGCGTCCCTCTCTTTGCCAATAAAAAATGTACCCTGAACAATTCTTATCCACAAGAATGGTAGATCGTATTTTTGGGGTAGAGAAGTAAGAGTGAGGCCTTTGTAAATCATTCGTCCGTGAAAAAAAAACTCACGACAGGAGAAAAACAATGACAGATCTGTTGCTCCTTCTTTTTCACGTTTTCGTTTTTATCTTTCTTCTCGTGGGCCACACTCACTCTCTCTCTCTCTCTTTCACACTCGATTTCGTCCACCACGACTCGCACTGTCTCACTCCCGCGCCCCTGCTAACAATCCAGTATTCCACACAAAAGACGCCAAAAAAGGAAGACGGGGGGGGGGGGATCACCTTCAACGGAGCCTCTTTCGCGGGTCAACCTCAGGAGCGCGTAAAGGAAAAAACTTGGAACGGTCCCGGTGTGGTGAGAAAGAAGTGGGGAAAACCGAAAGAACTAAATGCGAGCGAGGAGCCCCTGGGTAACGGAGAAGGAACACGAAAAAAAAATGAAAAATAAAAAAGAACTTTGCACCGTCTAACCGTTTTTCGGAGCACTTGGTCGGCCCTTTTCTCCCTCTTTACTCTGTCTCTTCGTGTCCTCCTGGGGAAAAAGGGGAGTGAAGAAGCTTCCCCTTGAAGAATACTTCACTTTCCTTTGGTAATTACGAGAAATGAACAATTATCCATCGGGATGTAACTCGTTAGGCAATCCCAATGAAAGAATTTACTTCGGTAAATTGAGTGAGTTATTGAAGTATTTAATTGATTCTACGAGAATGAATCAATTAATTTTTCAGTAGGTTTAAATGAAAAAAGATTCGATGAAATAATTTGTCTGATCGTTGTCATTGATTAACAATTTTCTATCTAACAATTTACTATCATCGCGGCAAATCACGACAATCGGCTCCAGACTTACTCCCAAAAGCTCGTGAGAATAACTGTTTTACTCTACAAATGCTACTCTCTCCTCGGGGAATCTAACATGCACGCAAACTTGGTTAATTTCACGTAGAACATGGGCATTAGTACGGCATAAGGGGAACAGATTACAGAGTCTAGACGACAGACAGTAGGGCTGGGGGTATGTAGGTGATACAAAAAGGAATTAACCGCGCTAGCTAGTAAGTGAGAAGCTACAACAGAATGGTCTCATGGAATTTAATGGGTTAATTAATTTCAATAATGTTGGAAGAATGCATATGATAATGACACTACAATAATCCCACCCGGATTCTCGAATAAATAATCGAGAAGATTAATCTCTTTTTTTTCCTCCTATCAAAGTCACTTGGGAGGTTGAACAGTAAATATTTCTTGCTATTTATGGCTTGATATTAGAAGCGGTGATTATATTTCACCGAAAATAAATACGCTCGACTGCAGTGTATTTCAAAATTTCGGGTAGATTATTTTCAAAGTTTCTTATCTTAAAAGACATTCATTTTATTTTGATAGATGTTTCTTGGAATTAAGTCGGTACGTTGTTAAAAATGCTCACTGAATTTTCCGTGTCCAACCCAGAAATTTTTATCATGTTTAATTTCCACTGAAATTTCAGGACAGCTTGTCATTAAAAAAATCTATAATTGATTAATTAATCCATTGATTTTTTCTCCGAATTATCAGAAAATCAATAAAATATACTCGATTTTTCAGTTAAATTATTCCATGAAAATTCGGAAAAATCAGGAAAATTCCAGAAGAAATTGAAAATTCATGTCATTTTGTTTCTGAATCTTCGTGTTCCATAGAAAATTCTACCAAGTTGAACAGTCGTGAATTTCCTTGAATTCTTCCTAAAACTTGGAATTTCATAACCATTATTCCCCTAAATCAGATGCCATGTCACGCTCATGTGAATTACTCCCATATTTTTAATGAAATTTCTAAAAATTTCCAACAGTGTAAGAGAAATCAAATTTATGTCGTTTTCAAAAGGCAGAACACTGTGGAAAATGACAACACATTTTTTTGAATTAATATCCTACAATTTTTTTTCAGCGAGACGGATGGTTGACTTCACGATGGCGTAAGAAGTTGCAAGAGCGCGCGAATCGTAGGATCGATCTGTGTGCCGGCTCCACGACCCACGCGGCCCACTAAAAAGCCGGTCGAGTCTTTTGTTCACTGGGCGTATCACACACACCGGCTTCTATGAAAATCGATATGTAACATAATCGCGAATTGATGCCCCCAGAAGAACCCTTGCATTCTCACAGTCGTCTATTCACAATTGCGCAATGTTACGAGAGAGTAAAAAAACCGGAGCTAGAAGAAAAACTACATGTTTAAATCACTGTGTTGTGAAAATTGCACAAAACGATGCAACAGCCGCGCGCCGACACTTTTTTGTTCCACGAGAGCGCCAAAAACAGTAAATACACACAAGCCGATGATTCCCGGAAATCCATGGGAAAGAGTAGAGAAGAAAAAAAACAAATGCCAGTATTACAAACCTGTGTTTGTGTTGAAGTAATCCAAGAGGGAGAAAAAATGTCAATGACGGGGATGCACTGTTATATTAATCACTCAAACTATTTCAGGTATTTCTCCGACAATATCGGATAACGGAACTTCAAATATTTGGCCAGTGGCTCGTGGAAGTTAATTAAACACCCGAAGTATTTATTTCTCCGAAATGAGTTTGTCTCACAAAAAAATAAACACACGATTGAATTTTGTGTGCTCACGGTATTTGAATGAGAAACAATAAACTTTTTTCCTCTATTCCTCTGAGGAAAATATTCAAGTTTTCTGCGCAACCGGCACTGGCGCGAATTCTCGTTGCCTGACAATGAGTGATCAAGTTCAAATTAATCGTTGAAAAAATCATCACAAGACACAAGACAACAGTTCCTGAGATTGGCCAGACCCGGAGTCGTGTACATTGTCATAAATGATGGTGAGTTATGATAATTGTTACTAAAGTATATTTAGTAAATTGTATTCGATGCCGTGCGGGCTTGTTCGTTGTGTAAAATTATTGGAACACAGTCGCACGCTGTACACGGGAGAGGCCGTCCTCGACTGGAGAGCCGGTTAGAGGCGACTGAACGTTCACAGGCCACGCCGTTTCCATCTTCCCGTATCATATCCCACCCCCCGGACGCCGAGGAACCCGGCGCCAGGAGCGTCACGTACATCATCTGCGCCCTCAGACGGCTCAAACGTGCTAATACAAAATCCCCCGTAGTTTACCGCGCGGTCTCACGTTACAGGTTCTATCGTTTGGGTTACAGGTTCTCTGCGCTCTTTTCATTTCTCCTTGTGTGATAAAATCTGAGAGAATTTTGACGACAGAAAGCCGGCGTTGAGCGTCTCTACTCGTCATATAAACGTTGTATGAAAATCATTTTAATTTGGGAAGAAAACCAAAATTATTTGATGATTCATTACGACAGATTGATGACGCCACATCTTTCATTTTTCTTATACACGGCATCAGGGAGGTACGAACGCCTAGAAGTGAAATTTGTACCTCCCTTTTTACTATCGGTTAGCCGGCATGGACTTATGCATACTTCGATAATATCGATAACATTCCGCAAATTTTACGCCCTAAATGACCCTAGGGCGTGAAGAATATCTTCGCTTAAGAAGATAGTAAAATAATTTAACATGAGTTTAAGGATATCCAAATACTTTGGCTATTTTTTCTCCAGTTATATGTTTTTCTACTTTTGTAGTTGAACACCAGAGATTTCAGTTGAGCCCCATTTGACCCTAAGTTTTCGGAGATTGTACAACGATTTTATTACTTGAACTTTACAGGTCGGAATTTGAATCTCTATATTGAACCGTTAAAACACTTTAAAAGTCTCAAAAAAATTGGGAAGTTTACTTTTGAAGGAAGAATGATAAACTAATTTAAAAATTGCAATTTTTGAAAATTACGAGCGATTTATATAAATAATTTATGAACTATCAGTTTTCCACCATACAAATCATTTGTTCGGAATCGTAACAAATTCAGTTATATTCAGAATTTTACCAGAAATGGACTTCATGCCTAAAATAATAAGGTTTTTCAAAGTTTAAACAATTTCCGTTAATTATTGACAAACAACGAATGTTCAAAAAATTAATAATTATACAAAATGGAAAAAATATTTGGATATTCTTAAGGATATCCAAACACTTCGGCTATGTTTTCTGCACTGAAATGTTTTTCTACTACATATTGTAGTCAAACATCAGAGCGTTCATTTGAGCTCCATTTTACCCTAAGTTTCCGGACATTTTACAGTGATTTTATCATTCAAACTTTGTAGGTCTGAATATGAATTTCGATATTAAACCGCTGGAAAACATTTTTTAAATCAGAAAAAAATAGAAAGTTTAATTTTGGCGGTAGATCGATGAAATAATTAAAAAATTGCAATTTTTAAAAATGACGACCATTTCCTCTGAATAATTTATAAACAATCAATTTTTGACCAAAAAAATCATTTGTTCAGAATCGTAACAAATTTATTCATACTCAGAATTTAAATAAAGTTTCCGAAAGTTTCAAAAATTTCAGTTAATTCTTTATAAACAACGAATGTTCAAAGAAATGATAATTTGTTGCAAAATGTAATTTAAATGACGCTAAATTTTCATGATTTTTCTGATTGAAAATGGGTGAATCTATAGTGTGGTCTGTACTAAATTGTATCCTTAAATGGCAGTTGGGGAGACAAAATCGTAAATATCTCAGAAGCTAGAATCGACAAAGCGGGAAGTCCTCTTCATGCGGAAGTCAACAATTGATTATGCATTACAAATTGGTGTCATTCATCAAAGTGATAAAAGACAAAAAATACAACGAACATTGGAAGGACAGCAGTGGAATTTACTTTCCCATTAAAATCAGTAGTGGAGGGTTGCCACGGTTTCAGCATATCCAAATATTCTGTCCATTTTTTTTCGGTAAAATCCTTCCCAACATTTCTAATTTAGAAACAGACCTCCCATTTAAGCCCCATGGGACCACAGGTTACCGAACACTTTGCGGTGACTTTATCACTCAATCTTTGAAGGTCTACATTTGATACTCCATTTTCAAACGTTAGAAAAAATTTCCAAATCTGAAAAAATGAAAGCCTACTTTTCTAGAAAAATTCATGAAGTAATTTTAAAATTGCTATTTTTAAAGATTGTGTCCGCTTCTATATTTCCATTCATAAGCAATCAATTTCTCACCTTGAAAATCACTTTTTCGGAATCGTACCAAATTTTTCAATACTGAACAGTTTCGGTAAAATCTTTTAATTATAAAAACTAGATTTTTTACAATTTAAATAATGTTCATTATTTATTTATGAGAAGAGAATTGGGAAGAGAGTAATTCATTCCGAAATGTAATTTCAGTGACGTTGCTTATCCATGAATTCTTTCAATTTTTTCTCAAACAATTCAACTGACAAATTTTGTGATTAGATATCTTCAGATCTCGTGTGGCTCGTACGAAGCTCTACAAAGTACTTGAATGTCCAGTATCTCGGAATTTAAAAAATAAACACTTTTAACTGTGAGAAATATATTGATTATAGACCACAGGTGAATAATCTAAATGGTTCGACGTACTGGTGAACAAAGATCGGAGGAAAAATGTTATTTTGGAAAAACCCAATCGTTTCCTTGGGGAAAACGAAAGAAAAATAGCGCCGTGCTCCCAAAATCTCTAGTGGTATTAACTGAATCCCTTTCTCACTAATTAGGAGTAAAAATATCAATGACTCTGGGTATTTAAATTAGATTAGACTCTCGCACTGCTTCCAAAGGCGCCACGCAGCCAGGTTTAATGCAGAGATTTAAAGCTTTAAAGTAATTCCGCAGTCTAATTTTGGGATAAAGAGTGGGGGTAAACATCAAAGTTGCCGACACTCAGCTGCATCGTTCGAAAATAAAAATATGAAAATTTTAAAGTTTCATGAGTCAATGAAAATTGTACCGATCGCGTTCTTTTTCATTTATGAGTCATAATTGATCAACCGGCATTTTCGTTAGACGAAGTTGGTGTTACTATTCTTCGATATGAACTTATACTACGCTTTGCTCCCATTTACTAAGGGACCTAAAGTCAAGCTAACCCTGTGGGTTCAAACGTTTTCTCACCATTGCCATGTTAATAAATTTATTATGAATAAACTCCAGTAAAGTCGTTGAGTGTAACAAAGAAAAATAAATTGAAAAAGCCTAAAAAGGTTATTCATCATTGATAATTTTTTCCATGAATTCTAACTTTGATAAGCGTAAGAAATTCATCCATCAAATTCTTTCTTCAATAATAATTAATCTAGAAGTGGAAAAATAACCCAGAGGATTTAAAGGTTTTTTCTTCAAAATTTCGGATTTTTTCTTTCAAATTTCGGCTCTCCATCCCTCACATCTGTTCCATAAAATCATACAGGAAGATTCGTGGACGAGAAAAATGTAATCTCGTTGTGAAGATCGTCCAAACAAAAATCTAAGAACAAAAGTCCAAGTCACAAGTTGCCATGAACTCTTTCCTTCAGATTAATGCTTAAAAATTGCCACAAATTTGTTCATGTTAAAATATGAAAAATAACCGTTACAAAAACGTTTGTTATGATAGCATATGGCATCATATATTTCTCATCGTTGGTTTATTATCTCTATTCGTGTCAAAACAATCAATTGACTTATCATTTTTCCGTTTCGTATATTGTGCCATCGATGCAATATAATGATGATCGCGCTAGCGCAGAGAAGCGGCAAGGGAAGTTAGTGGATAGCCCTTGACACACTGAGTTACACAATCTCATTCATTACACGGAAAGCGACGCGACGTCGTCGCAGCACGTCCGTTGTCTAAAGAGAGCGTTGAAACCGATGTAATTACAGGAATACATATTCATATCGGAGGAAAAAAAATGCGCAGACGATTGAAAAATATTATCCGAACCAGGCTTAGAATTCCACAAATTCTTGTGATCAATCACAGCATTCCACAAGCACAAAATGAAGATAAAAATCAAATGTGAGCTACCGATAAGAGAAACTTTCGCCCCGTACATTAGGAAATTTTTATCATGTATTTCTACAGAGAAAAAACATTCTTGAATCAAGAATATACTGCTCGCCCGAATGAAGAATACCTTTAAAATATACCTCTCGGATTCTCCGGATTCTTTCACTGCAGTGTTTCATCTCATTTTCTCTAGCATTGCATTCCCAATGCATTTTTTCTCATCGCAGGCGTGAAAGATCGTTCTTTCCATAGCTGCTTAGCTTATATTCCAAAAATTAAGGATATGCTGAAATGCTGTTCTACTTGTGTGATCGAACCTCAAAGCTTTTTGAGCCCCATTTGGCCCTATAAGTTTCCGGACATTTTACAATGATTTTATTATTTAAACTTTGCAGGTCTGAATTTGAATCTCGATAATGAACCGTTAAAAAATATTTTAAAAATTTTAAAAAAAATTAGAAAGTTTACTTTTGGAAGAAGTTTGATGAAATAATTTAAAAATTGTAATTTTTTAAAATTACAAGCATTTTCTATGAATAATTTATAAATAATTGATTTCGTGCTTCAAAACAAAAGGTTTCTTAAAGTTTAAACAATTTCAATTATTTATCTATAAACAACGAATGTTTAAATAAATAAAAATTCTGTGTAAAATGTAATCTGAATAAACGCAAAATATTCATGATTTTTTCAAATTCTTCTCACGAGATTTAATTGAAAAATTTGATGATTAAAAATAGTTGAATCTATCGCGTGGTCTGTTCCAAACTGTAAAAAATACTTGGATATCCTTAAGACTACGGCACAACACAGTGCACTGGCCCTACAGGGCTCGGACATTCTCAAATACAGAATGACTATGCATGACTCGAGAATAAAATATTGTTCATTCATGAATATCTCTCTGAGATTCGTGAATGAAGAATATTTCAGTAGCTTTCAGTAGTAAAAGGTAAATATGACAATTTAGCTCCTAAGTTGAGTGTTCGTAAAATATCTCGGAATCCAAAAGATCTAGCGGCGTTCTTGTTACAAGGTTTCTTGCAGCTCGCGTTT